CCATGAATGACTCAAGAACAATATTCTTGTCACATCATGCAGAAAAGCAATGCAAAGGATTTTAGGATGGTCAGAGAATTCAGGAGTGGCTCAACCAGCTTCCTCAAGATGAGTCACAATCCAAGTGCTGTTAGAGAAGAGATGGGGGCAATCAACGAACGTACCGGCGTCCAGCAGCAGCTTCACAATCTCGAAGTTGGAATGAGACACGCTGTAGTGGAGGGCCGTGTTGCCGTTGCCGTCAGCCATGTTGATGACATAGCAGAGGACGTCCGGGGAGATGGCCTCGAAAGCCGCTATGTAGTCCCCCACCATGGCGGGAACGGCTGACTTCTGACTGGACACACGGAACCACTCATGCTGGAGGGTGTTCAGACAGAACCTCTGCCAAGATACCAAGTGGCCTTTAGTTCTTCTATTTATAGACCTTTCTGAGACCCAGCTGAAAGCCCAAGTACCAGGCCTTTTATAGTCAAAGTACATGCAGTTAGAGTCTGCTCTCAAAAACAACGAACAAAACCCAGAGCCCTAAGGGAAGCCTCGAACACCAAAATGGGACACCTCTCCTGATTTTCAACCACGTACACATTCTAATTTCTATAAAAGAGGCCATACAGCACTGTACAAGAGGAATGAGCCTGGAGCCAGACCCCCGAGGCTCAAACTCAGTCTCTGCTACCAATGAGCTACACGACCCCAGGAAATTTACTTCTTCTGGGTCTTAGTTTCCTCCCCTGCAAAATGGGGATAATATCTTCTCTTCACAGCGTTTGTGGTGAGGTTAAAACACTTAGGCCTGACTTGATTTCCTATCAAGCTATTAATATTATACAAGTATAATTATGCTGGTCTTGCAAATGATTTTCCTAGAAATCAGGAAGAAATTAATTAGCTCACACTTAGTTATGCTGCTTACTTTCTATCCAGACCAACCTCAACTCCTTCAACTCCTCCACAGCACCAGGCTGGGAGACCATACGTGGGTAGCCAACCCGACTCCCACCCCAATCCCAAATACAAATATTCAGCCATGGAAAAGGAATAAAAGGCAGGTCTGGAACAAACTACATTTCTCATTAGGATCATCTGCCTCTGATCATCAGCCCACTCTGATTTCCTTGGGCTGTGGCCACATGAACGTGGAACTTGTTTCGTGGAGGAACAAGTCAAACATGAACCACATGAAGTTTCAATCCTATTTTGGGTCACTTTGAAAGGGTCCTGGCTAGGAAAGAACTAATGTAACTTTTTCTTTTCTTCTGCTCAGTCTTTTACATATTCAGATTTCTATTTCTTTGGAGTTATTATACAGAAAGAATGGAAATTATGTCTTCTGGCTCTCCTAACTCTGTTACTGTTAAATAACCAGTGTCCTGATATGATTATCTGGCCCTGGCATTGTGATTATTTACATG